AAAATTAAAAAACAAATTTTCATAATTTATTATTATATTAATAAATTATATAATGCTTTTGTGGCTAAGTCCCCTCAAGCTCATTGGAGACTGATAGAAGTTGCAAGTATCTAGCTGTCCATCTGCTTCATTTATTTTTAACTAAATAATTAATTGGTGTCTGCATTAAGTTTGTTAAAATTACTTTTGTCCTTTAATTTCTCTTTATTATAAATTTAGCATCTAAACCTTTTAAAGGTTTGGTATTTAAATTCTTTAGGATTTGGTTTTTGTGTGTTAGGTTTAAAATTAGCGTTGCTTAGAAAGTTAGGGTTTAAATTTTTTTAATTTAATTTTTAAGGAAGTTAAGGTTTAAATTTTTTAGAATTTAATTCTTGAAATGTTAGGATTTACATTTTATTAAGGTGTTAAATTTTAGATTTTTTAAGATTTAAGGTTTAATTTATTGAGATGTAGGATTTAATAATTTAAATATTAAAAGATTAAATTTTAAATATAAATTAAATCTTTAATTTTTTTAGAGTTGAGATTGATATGTTTTAATTTTAAAATTTTTAATTAAAATTTATATTATAGGTTAAATTTTTATCGAATATTTAGATTTAAAATGTAAAAAATTCAAATTAAAAGTAAAGAGAGTGCTTATTAATTAAGTACATAAAAATAAAAGTGTTTTTTAAGCTGAAATTATATTTAATAATTTTTAAGTTAAGTTATCATATTATTTTAGTAATTTTAAAATCCAAACTAGATTTTAATTTGTGTTTTGTGCGGTTTATTTGGAATTTTTTTAAAAAAATTTACTAATTATAAATTTTTATTATAATAATTAATTATAAATATATCTAAATTTTTTTAATATTTAATAATTTTAAATATATTAATTTATGATTTAAAAAAATTAAGCTACAACTTTAATCAATTTAATTTTAAAAATTAAAAGACAAATTTTAATAATTTATTATTATATTAATAAATTACATAATGCTTTTGTGGCTAAGTCCCCTCAAGCTCATTGGAGACTGATAGAAGCTGCGAGTATCTAGCTGTCCATCTTCTTCATTTATTTTTAACTAAATAATTAATTGGTGTCTGCATTAAGTTTGTTAAAATTACTTTTGTCCTTTAATTTCTCTTTATTATAAATTTAGC